TCACTGGATCAAGAAGTGGCATCGTCTTTCCAGGGCCTAAGAACAGTTGCGAAAAGGCAGATCGATTCTCCTTGTAGTCATGTGACAATCCGTCTCAGGACAAGGTTGGCGTGCCAAAAGGTTCTATCAAACGCTATTACTGTTTTTGGATGTGGGTAACCAAGTGGGTACTTATTGGTTTTCTTTTTCTTTTTTTCTTCCAACTCTTTGTCTGTCTGTGTGTCTGTCTGTCTGTATGTCTGTCTGTTTGTCTGTCTATCTGTTTGTCTGTCTAGACGTCTGTCTGCCTGCTTGTCTATCTATCTATCTATCTATCTATCTATCTATCTATCTATCTATCTATCTATCTATCTATCTATCTATCTATCCATCTATCTATCAAACTCAAATCTCTTCGGCGGATGGTTGGCGGGTGCTCTGGTGTGGTCTGTTTCTTCTTTCCTATCAATCATCTATCGTCCTGATCTCCCCTCCTTCTTTTTTATGTTTGTTACTCTCTTGAAACACCTCTAATCTTCTGGCGCTCATATGACTTTATGCAGTTGCGAGCGCCGTAAAACCTCTACTAAAACAAACAACAAACCTCTTCTCCTTTTTTGACCTCATTAAATCCCGTAACCTCGTTTCCAGTAATCCAACAATCTCACAATCCAGGACTCATTCTTGATCAAACATGTGAGGCAGCGTGGTGGAATCAGGCTCTCGTCAAAATAATCAAAGTAAAAAAACTTAAATTTTTTCCGCAGGTTTGTGAATTTTTATCCAATTTTTGTTTTTAGGCTCAACACCTTTCATGCCCATAAATGAACTCATTTCTGTGTTGATTTTTCTGAAAAACGTTGATTAAAGGCACAGACGATGTACATTTTCGTAACTGTAACTCTTGAGCTAAGGAAATAACTAATCTTTGGCGGCCATTTTCTCACCAATTTTACCTCTGAAAACAGGTGACCCCCACCTCCTTCTTTCTCAAATATCTCGACATGTAATTAAGATAAACGGGTATTTTTTTCATCCAAATAAAGACCAGTGAACAAGCTTTAAGATCATACCAATAACTCGATGTGCTCAAAAATTGACGAGAGCCTGATTCCACCACGCTCCCTCACATATCCCTTCCGCGACCCTCACTCAGAGTTGATTTGACTACATTTTTTTCTCGTAGAATAATGGACGTCACAAGTGAGGAATTGGTGCGTGACCTTGTTTATTGTGACAGCTACTGAGTGCATCACGGTCAGGAGAGAGGAAGAGTGAAGTACAGCTACAGTTGTGTGCATATATGTGTATGTGTGTGTGTTTTTGGGGGGGTATGTGTGTGAGTGCGTGTGTGTGTTTTGGGGGGTGCGTGTGTGAGTGCGTGTGTGTGTGTGTGTGTGTGTTTGTGTGCATGCATGTGTGTATGTGTGGGT